TCACTGTGGTCGGCTACTGCTCAGAATGGGCACCTGTTACGAGTGGAGTCCCATAGGGGTCAGTTCTTGGGCCGCTCCTATTCATTATCTATGTAAATGACCTAGTACGGGAAGTGAACTCAGAAATAGCGCTCTTTGCAAACGATCTTAAACTTTGGAGAGCGATAAAAGATGAAGATGACGTCAAGATACTACAAGAGGACGTGGAGAATTTGCATGCATGGAGCGAGAAATGGTGCATGAAATTCAACGTCCGAAAAAAATTGCCGTAATGCGTGTAGAATCAGCAAGGCGAAGAACAAATGCACCCTCCACGAAAGTATCTCCTGGACAATCAACCGCTTAAAACCGTGGATGTGCAAAAAGATCTCGGTGTGTTCCTTAAAGACGATCTAAGCGTCACCACACAGTGTTCTAAAGTCGCTGCACGGGCAATGTCCGTTATGAGCGCGATACGCCGTCGTGGGGTAATCGTAGCTCAAATGGTTAGAGCGTTTGCTGTACTAAAGCCTTTCCCTTACTGCGTGGGTTCGAACCCCACCGAGGCGCCGGATTTTCCACAATTGGGACAATATGAATTATTCAAAATCTGATAAAATATCCTGTAGTAGACAAGTCCCAGCCAAACCCCTAACCTCGTGCTCACCAACGGATTGCAGGCACATCAGTGCACGGCAGCGGAAACAACGAGGAACGAGGTACGAGTAAACCCATTTCAGCTGATTGCAGTCAGGCCTGATTGGAAAAGCAAACGAATAAAGAACACCATCTAGCATGATACACCGGGTGGTTAAAGGAGGGGCGGCGGCGGAGGCGATAGCTCTTTAGGCGGGCGTAATCCAGCCGGCCAAAGTGTGGGCGTGAGTAAGCAGACGCGCTGGCGATTGCGGGAGCAGGCTGCCACTGGACTACGCAATACGACGGCAAACCTTCAAGTTTACGATTCACTCTCACGGCCCAGAAGCTACACTAGGCGCTGTTCAACTCGAGTCTGCAATCTCTACACGAGACTTTGCAACAGGCAGGTCAAAAATAATAAGAATAAAGTGAAAGCCAAACTTCGAAATTTTGCTTCCCTCACAGATTGGCAAATCAATGACTGTTTAAGGGATAGTTTGAACAACTTCTTGAAATAGGTACGCCGGCACTGTGGTGTCATGAGCTGTGTGTAACGTCAAAGCTGTCTTTGCAAAGCCGTCCCACTGTGTTGAGTGGATAGAAACATAATCTCCCAGCTTGACATTCTCCTGCTTGAAATCCGCAATGGCTCGCCACCAGCGTCTCTGTGTATGGGTGCACTGGTACATCTGATCCACCGACTGCATCTGGAATGCGGCATCACCATGAATGGGGGACTTTGCTGAGAGAAGTTCGTAGGCAAGTCTGCAAACGTTGGAGCTGCCCGTACAGACCAGGAAGTCGGCCGACATCAGAAGATGCAGATCCACGAGGATGGAGAACACACCTGCGGTGGACCAACGATTTTCATATGCACTTCCTTCTCTCTGTCGACCAATAAACTCGTATTTGGGGTATCGCGATCTGGCTTCCTGGAAGACTGATGAATCATCGGAAGCCAAGAACACGCGTCGCCGCCAAGACCAGGAGGGTGGGTTTGCATTACCAGACTTCAATCCATATTCCACCTCCTTCAAATCGAAAAAGTGTTCCACATGCAACATGTATTCCTCCAGTGCATGGAACTCTGCTTCACTGGCGACTTTATCCGTTCGGCGAACGTGTATGCTGGCGATTGGTCCATTTCCACCTCTCCTCATATCTTCTATTTCCATTTCTAGTTCACGGCGGACGGCCGGATCTCTCGGACGAAGAATGTAGTCCAACAGGTGTCCACGGTACCACGGAAAGGGATCTCCAAGTGCACCACGTAGTTTCTCTGCCAATTCCCCTGGAATAGCCGGTGGATAATAACGCTTCGTCTCCCTTGAAAGCCCGTTTTCTATGTGAGGAATGTCTGGCTGTCCTTCGGTGTGATTCAGCGAGCAGTTAGAGAACGGCATAAAGAAGTCCTTCCAGTCATTGTACTGCAGCAGCAGAGTGCGATTGGTTGCGAAAGCAAATGAAAACTTCAGAACCATGTGATGAGCAGAACACCCAAACCCGCAGCTGTAACTCAGTTCTGCCAAAGCGAAGCGGGACCGGCTGCAGTCGGGAGGATTCTGCAGTCTTGAAATCTGATGCCGCAGCTCTGAACTCAATGCATCCACCTCCTCACGCCTTCTGTCGCGTCGGCCGCTGAGTTTGTCCAACAGAGCCAGTCTCGCCGTGAGCTGAAGTGTAGCCTGAGACAGGAGACTGTTTAGACGGACGGCTGGCAGAGAGGTTTGATTATTACGTGTGGAAAAGTAGGCATTATTCAGCCTCCATAGTTCGTTGAGAGTTGATCTTGCCTGTCTGATTAGCCCATCGGTCTTTTGTGGTTCACGTTCAGTGGGCGTGGGATAATCGAATACCACCTTCTCGGGCTGACTCAGATGCCATTCTATCCGCCAGGTAAGACGCCAGAGTAGGCAAATAAACAGCAAAGTGATGCAGAGAATAGCACGTACTGCCTTTGCTGGCCTCATGTGATTTTGAGGAGACATGAACAGACCAGCCTCTGCTCCTGTTGACCTCAGCGCGTTGGAGGACAGCTGACTTCAGGGCGTTAGGTCGCCGATTTTCATACGTCTCTGAGCCTTGTTAATTCCACCAAGCCAATTGCACGACGCGGCCTCTGTGTTGCGTTTCGTTTCGCTGCAACAGCATGGACTCAGCAGCCAGCCGCTGCACATCTGAGACGCGGCGTGTCCATATTTGCAGGGGTTTCCCGGGGGGCTTGTATGGCATGCCAATCTTTGTCCACCTCCAGTGTGTCCTATGGACATGCGGACACGTACGCATTCAGAGATCTTTACGTCCCGGCACTAATGCTACAGAAGGTGGGCTAACTGATGAAATGCCAGTCGAAATTCCAAAATGCGTTTCCGTTTCGAAAGGATTGATTAGGTAGGGTTGAAAAACTAATCAGTCTACAGTATAATTCTATAATAATTCAGTTACCTCAGGATGCCGGTTTTCGGATGAACTTATTTCCGACTGTATAAATAAACTACACTCTGTGCAAAATGACTACTTGAATAGCATGAATCTTTCTCTTTGATTTTCGATGCCTTTAAAAATTAAATTACTCTTCGTGGAAAACATGCATAAAAAATATTCAATCTTTTGCCCATTCGGTAGAAAATGATGTCTCCTTCCAATTTTTATACTCGAACGAAGGGTATAATTCGGTTTTAAAAAAGTTCCTATTGTGAGACTTCTTAATACCATGGAATGGCCGTTCATAAAACGTCATGTCTCTGCATTTACCACTGTGGTTTGTAGAGTTAACAATATGGATCGAATCCACTGCTTAATTTTATGAACCCTGTATTGTCCCCCTTTACTACCGCAGAGAAATGTATGCCTCTCCGTGTGCAGACAATATACGGCTTGTAGTTTTTACACCCTGAATTCAGGTGTAATGGTAAAGGGGGTTCGAAATTTTTTGGGAATTGGAAAATTTTTGAAAACCCATTTTCTACCGAACAAACAAAGGAATTAGTATTGTTATGCATGTTTTCCATGAAATATAATTGAATTTTTGAGGACGTCGAAAATCAATGAGAAAATACATACTATTTAAGTAGTCATTTTTCACTGAGTATAGTTTATTTGTGCAACCGGCAAGTTCATTCGAAAGCCGGCATCTTGAGGTAACTGAATTATTATAGACTTATGCTGCAAGATGATTACTTTTAGAACCCCACTTAATTCATCTTTTCGAAAGGAAAACGCATTTTGGCATTTCGGTTGACATTTCACGAGTTAGCCCACCTACTGTAACTTCGCCACTAGGCACGAGATGAACTGCATTCTCGGGATATTGCCATGCGACAGGAGATTTTACTATTTCACTGGAAATTGATTAGCGAAAACATTCTCGTTGAAGCACGGTAGCCACTGAAGGAGAGAGAGAGAGAGACGAGCATATGAAGTCCGGTGGTCACACGAACTATGCGCAAGAAATGTCTACCTCAAAGTCTTTGTAAATGCTGCCTCCGTTCTCGCGAGTACAAAACAAAAGTAGATGCCTAATCAATACTTGACTCCGTGGGTACTTTACGGTATGATTATGTTTGAGTTGAGAGTGTAGAGTTAGAGATGGGGTTAAGTTTAGGGTCAGTATTAGTAATTAGGACCACGGTTAGTTGCTGAATTTAGTAGTTGGGGGTTAGTATTTACGGTCAGGGTTGACAGCTATGGTTAGGTTTAGTGATGAATGTTAGATTTAAGTCTAGAAGTTGTAGCAGCCGCTCCAGTCCCCCTTTTCTCCGGCTCCGTTTTGTCGATCGAAGGCCGCGACAAGCATTGACAGGCCGCTGGCACACGACCGCCCACACCGGCTAGAACTGGGGCCCCTCCTGTCCAGCTGCAGTGACTCCTGGCTGCCCTCACAATTTAGTATCACCACACGCGCGTCGGACGCTCTGGCTTGATACCCGTGAGGCCTTGTGGGTATGCGCCCTCCATTCTTCCCCTAATTTGTCCAATCACACGACCAACACTCAGACAGTCATCTCCTCCTGCTGACCCAGACGTTTACTCCCGCGTAAACAACACACCGCGACTGACGCTCTCCGTGAACGGACGCTTATCTCTGTTGCAAGCAAACAGCCAACTTACGGCAACCTGCCCTGTGTACAGAATAAACTAGTCCTCACAGCTCCCTGACTTCTGACATTAGACGAAACGAACTTATTGTGCGTGGTTTAAGTTGACCTCACATCTTTGACCGCCACAAAGTAACGGTAGGTAATTACGGTTAGGGTTATAACTTAGGTTTAGTGGCTACGGCTACGGCTAGAGTTAGCAGTTGTAGGCAGTCCTTTTGGAGAGTCCTTTTGAAGAAAGCGTCAAGGATTCTAGTGTGGGGGTGTCAGCGGTGGGTTCACGTAATGGTCGTGGTGGTCGCCCACTTGCTTGCAGGTGAGACTGCGCCTAGCGTCCACTTGCTGGCACTCAACTCTCACCTGTGGCTCCACGTAGCTGATCTCTGCTCAGCGGCCATACCCCGGGCAACCGTCTCGACCGGCGGACTAAACCAGGTGAGGGGGCCCTGTGCGCTGTGCCGTGTGCACAGGGTTTGCGGATTCCGCTGGATGGAAGGTCGGATGGAACCTTGCGTCGGCACCGTCGTGACGTGGTTCGTCTCTGCACGCCGCTGGACAGCCGGTGACGGGATGGATCTCCACATCGACATCGCCTTGACGCGCCCACCTACGCCGTCGGAGACCGCGGCTTACGGCGAATTCGAGTCGCTCTCCACTACAACCCGAAGTCGTGGTCCCATAGTGGAGTTCGGCCGTGCCACAACGGCACATGGCAGCCCTATTCAGGGATGGCACTGCCAGCCCCCACGAGGAGAAGGGCCTAGAAAAGGTGGCCTAAACATTGCTGGGTACCACGCCGTCTCCAGGCTAGCCAGGGCCGCAGACGTCTAATCATGGTCGAAACAATCAAAATCGAAACATCAACAATACCAATAACAACAACAACAACCATACTCATTCTCCTCATCCTACCTCTTCTTCCTCTTCCTCTGCCTATTCTTCTCCTTCGTCACCTTCCTCTCCATCTCCTTCCCGTCACCCCACTCGTTGTCACCAGACTGGCAGGGTGAGCCCGCTCACTCTGGCAGCCTGGAATGTTCGTTCCCTTTTAGACAATCCGAGGAGCAACCGACCGGAACGGAGGACGGCGCTAGTGGCACGAGAACTGGCGCGCTACAAGGTGGACATCGCCACACTCAGCGAGACCCGATTCTCCGAACGAGGCCAACTGGAGGAGGTGGATGCCGGCTACACCTTCTTCTGGAGCGGTCGACCCAGGACAGAGCGACGGGACGCGGGTGTCGCCTTCGAACAGTAAATCTTGAAGAAGGAGACACGATCGCCGGGACAAGCGCTTTATTAGCCTGACGTTTCGGATTCCTACTCGAATCCATCATCAGAGACAAAAAAGCAGAAACGGGTAGTTGCTGCACAAGGGGCTGCGGTATTTATAGGATGCAGTTGCCATGCTACCGCATACCTATGAACATTCACGGCTCCCCCTTCCATCCGGGATCGTCGCACTTGGTGTGATCACTGCTTGATGGCCGACATTCGAGTCGATAATTGCTGCAATTTCATCACGTGCGTTGGATGTTGGCGTGATGATTGCTCGACCATCTGACGCACCGACCCCGGTGTTGGGAAAAGTGTTCACCTCTGCGCTCCCCGCATGGCTTGTTACTCCGCCTAGGCGAAATTTTCAGCACGCGGTATGGAGTGGGAAGATCGTTGCACTTGTTGATGGACTGCAACGAGTTGAAAATTTCGCCTAGGCGGAGTAACAAGCCATGCGGGGAGCGCAGAGGTGAACACTTTTCCCAACACCGGGGTCGGTGCGTCAGATGGTCGAGCAATCATCACGCCAACATCCAACGCACGTGATGAAATTGCAGCAATTATCGACTCGAATGTCGGCCATCAAGCAGTGATCACACCAAGTGCGACGATCCCGGATGGAAGGGGGAGCCGTGAATGTTCATAGGTATGCGGTAGCATGGCTACTGCATCCTATAAATACCGCAGCCCCTTGTGCAGCAACTACCCGTTTCTGCTTTTTTGTCTCTGATGATGGATTCGAGTAGGAATCCGAAACGTCAGGCTAATAAAGCGCTTGTCCCGGCGATCGTGTCTCCTTCTTCAAGACTACTTCCTGGGACTCGTCTCTTCGCTTCTATTGAACAGTAAATCGTTTATCAATCTGCACGGCCTGTCGGCCACTAGTCACAGGAAAGCAGGTGGTCTTTTCGACCCTCCATTGCTCGTGGATGTGCGGCGACCTACAGGGCCTCCAAGCAGAAGTCTGAAGACAAAAGAAAGCGTTCGAATTCCAGCCTGCAAGAGACGCTACTTTCCTGTGAATATACGAGCCAGAATAGTTGGCAGGTCGAACCAGTGACTACCTTAGTTGTCTGACGTCCGACAACAGTTGGTACTTGGATCTGCGGGCAATCGTACAGGAAATATGTCTCGAGAAATCACTGCCATGAATGAAGAGGAAGACAACTTTAAAGAAAGAGGCACACGTATATACAAGCAGACGCTGTGGTGCTAATGATGATTAGCATAGTGGTGTGGTGGAGAAGTTTACTCAGTCCATTTGTACAGGCAGTCGAGATTGGTGCAGACATAGTACAGTCGCATGTTCTCTTCGGCTTTGACGGTCTGCGATTGGAAGAATACCGCCTCCTGTTTTCCACAGCGACGACAGATGTGATCCTCCGTGCGGGGCAGAGTGGGGTCGTGAACGACGTCCGGTACAATGAGAGCCAGTTCACTAAACCCAAGAAGTGTAGGAAGTACTATGAGCAAGAACGAAGAGTGAAAAAATGCGACAAGGGGAAGTAACTTCGATGGTGGCATAGTCCCAAAGAAGTACTGGCTGTTTATTTCTCAAACATGTCACAATCAACGTTAGGCATTCTGAGCATAGGTCTCGCTGTCATGGGCCATCCGAGTTCGCCGGTCTTATAATTGTCAGTTATAAGCCTGAAAATAATCGACGTGACTCAGGCGAAAATTAAGCCTGTAATCAAATCACCATCTATTAAACAGAGTTGACCAAATGACCTGCAACCCCCAAATTTTCGGGATGCACAACGCTTGTGCGATTCACGAATCGCACAACTGTGGCCACTACTGACTTGGGAAAGAAGCGCGTTTGATTGCGCGTACTGAACCATTGGGCGTAACATCGGCCTCACCCGCTCTGCCCAATCCTATCGTGATTCAGTGGACCTGCGCTGCGTCTAGCTCACCACACTCATCCTGCGTCTATAGGGTTCTTGTGAGAAGACAATTTTAAGACGCGATCGCAATGGATGGCAAGGCTAAAAAGTCCATCTACGTATGCGACAAACGAAACGCGCCCCAACTCCCCGCGTTCCAAGCTTCAATCTGAAGTCTCACGTAAGTGCAGTAATGGTCACATGATGAGGAAGCTAAAGCATCCTGACCTCAGCGATTTCAAACCACCCTCAAAATCACGACTTTTAGTATTCTGTGACGGTTAATAAGTGAGATCAATTAGTTGTGTTAAGGTTCGGCGATGGTTGAAGCGGCCTAAAAGAGGTACTAACGCGAGAGTAAAGACATCGCGAACGCAACGGACCACGCCTAACATTCGACGTTGACTCGTTGCTCAACCAGCACTCGAACAGTTTCATGATCTTGATGGAACAGTGAGAAAGGTGACGCCAAACGACAGAAAAATTCTACAAGTGGTTTCCTTGACCCTTGATGTACTGGCTACCCCCTGGTGACCAAGTCCGCGTGGGCATAATTGTTCATTATAACTATAAAGATGCTGCTGAAATCCTGTCAATAACATGTTTATGGAGATTTTGTGTCAATCGACATATTTACAGCTAACCACTGGTCCACTAGGGTTCTGTCCAATACCCTTGAATTATAAGGAATACAGCGAAAAGACTGCCAAACCCTCATATACAGTAGCCATCCATAAGATGCCAGGTCATTTTAATTCTAGCAGGCTCAAGGAGGTCCTGTAATAGAGCCCACCTACAATGCTTCGCCGCAAGCTTCTAATGAAACGTTCTCAGAAAAACCCGGCAACCTAGGTACGATTCGAACCCATGACAGCAAGGGGAAGGAGTGAGAACAGTCAACGCTCTAGCCACCTGAGTTACGACGCCTCACCGAGAGCCATGAGTTTAACCACCTTAAAATCAAGTTACCCGTTCAGCGTATAGCAACGTATGGGATCGATCAAATCTGATACTGACTGTATAAGCCGGATTTCCAAAGCATTCCATCTAGGATCCACCATATGACTAGCAAGCTCATGTACTTAATAGGTGGGTACACGAATGTAGATATACTTTTACAAAAAGTATAATCTGGTGCTTGAAAAGGCGCCCTCTGGAAGGAAAACGTTCTTTGACTATCGTATTCTTAATCTAATCCCGCCCCAGGCACATCCATCAGGCCAATCGAACTTGGAAATAATAGCAGCCATTGGCCGGCTGTTTTGAACTTTTCCCTGTGACGGCATAGCATTTATTAATTTGACCGGCCTTCGAACGTGGGTTAACCGCGTCAATAATGATTACCCATCATTTTCGCCGGTCGGAGGCAAAACCAGCGCAAAGTTCAGGGATTTGGGAACCCTATCGGGCGGATTCTGAGGAAATCAAACGATGACCGACCATGTTCAGTTCCTGTGCTTTTCGGCTTGACAGAGACAGGATGCCTGGAGGACAGAGTCATGTCTATCCATACATGAAACCTAACAAAAACTGGCGGACATCCCTCCTCGACTCAAGGCTCCTCTTTCCCAACCCTCTGAGCGTCCCAGAGCCGCCTCAGTAATGTTAAAACGGCCACTCAGCCAATGATATGGGAAGGGGTAATGAAGACATCAGGGGACAGACGAACAGCTTCCCACAGTTTTTCAAGACTTTTGTTTGAACACTGTCCCCATGTGATTTCCGGGCATATTTCCTAGTGTAAGGTTAGCATTCTTCAAAACGTTGACAAGTGGCAGCAAACTATACGGCCTTTAAGGAGCGCCCTGCTTTGTGGCGGCTTATGGATGTAACCATTTCTTTTCTTCAGGTCTGTTTATTAACCTTTGGTATGTGAGGTAGCCTGCAGTTTTTTGACGATCCTGATTCCAGCATCAGATGGCCGATCGGACCCGACAGCTGACTGGTGCATGAGCGTGGCAGAGGAAAGTGAGTGGGATTGACTCTGAGAACCCCGTCCCCATGGCACTTCAGCAAGTCTCATCACAATAAACAATATGACGTACTAAAGTCGTGGCTTGGGTGGCTGCTAACCGGTGAATAAACTCAATTCTCCAAGGACGGAGAAGAAGGCTGCATCGGCTCCGTCATCGTGTGGCCCCTATGGACCTCCCACTCGGGTACGATTCCAGTCGCCCTCCTTGTTTCTGTGAAACCAGGACCATTGTGCGCAAAGCAGGTCGTGCGCGGCACGCGCAGACAGGCTTTTTTGCTGCGTTAGCCAATGCACTCGATCCCGCATCCGATCCTCCTGACTTTGTCTTACGATACGGCCCAGGAGGGTGGGGGAGAAGAGAATACATTGGATGCTGCA